ATAGAACTGATTAATGCATCCTAGTATAAAAACATAACACTTTTTCTACATACTTCAATACAAATTTTTAACTGATATAGAACTGATTAATGCATCAGTGTTATGTTTTTAGTTTTCTACATACTGCAGGGAACTCCCACAGAGGCCTAAACTTTCATGAAACTTTTAAATTTCACACAATCATTATGTCATGTGAAAACATTAAAATAATAAAAATGTAGTCCACAATAATAAGGTACATGTCTTTATAATATTTGCATTTAATTGCTATTACTCAGAACTACTTTATCTATAGAGTTAAATAGTGTTTTACAAAAATTAATGAAATGATACATTAATGTAAGAAGATGCAGGACATTCCTAATATTTTAAATAAAAATTGAAAGTAATATGAGGGTTTAAAAAGAACAACCTCTTTTCTTTTCTTTGTCTGAAACTGTATTATCAGTCTTTTTCCCAATGATTGTTAGCTGATAAACTACATATTAATACTTTCTGGAATATTAAAAAAAATATTGAAGAAAGTGATGGTAGTTCAGTTTTGGAAGTTAATTCTTCACTGAGTTAAAAAGTATTTATCTACAAAGTATTTTAACTTAGGTTTAAAATCAGAAAGAAATAGGATTTTAGAGCTCTTTTTTAATATTTTAATTACAAGTCTTATACTTCAGAAATTTGAAATTCCCTGTTATAAGATTTGGACTTTCAAATTGTACAAGGTCAAACTTTGAAATAATATGAAAGAGTTTGCATTATATATAAATATATATATATAAATGTAGCTTCTCACATTACTAAATTTTCTAAGACTTGTGTGAAATTCTTGTTTAGTTACAGTTCTATCAAAGCAATTTTTATAGTATTGAAGATTAATGGCTTGTATAACTAATCATATTTTTGAATATAACATAAAAACATGGTGTGTGTGTGTGTGACTACATATTTAAAAGTGTACATATCTGTACCTTTAATTTGGATATCCATGTGTATTTTTATTTAGAAGGAGTCACTGCAATTATGTGTGAAGCCTGTAACAGTAGGAAAAGTAAGTACCACCTTTTCCATGTTGAATAAGTTTTTGATGACGTTGAAATATGTTATGACGAACATCGTAGTACTTTAGTAATGCATCTTTGTTATGACGAACATCGTAGTTACTTTAGTAATGCATCTTTGTTA